GGTTTTAAGTTGCGCTTGTTAATGCAAATCAAACATGTTCACTTCCTTATAAAGTTATTGCGAAGTCTGTCAAGAGCAGCATGAAATTTTGTGTGAAAAATTAAACAAACATTTGATACATGATCCTCAGTTACAGCAGCACAGAGTTAATCTGTTTTAATGGTAATATGGCTTTTTTAAGTATGTCCAGGCAGATTCCTTTAAGGCGAACAGGCTTGGGTGGCACTTCTAATTCCCTTTTTCTGTTCCTACTTTTTCTTCTCCAATATATGCCTGCTCGCAGGCCAGTGCCTCTCAATACAAATGCTGTTCGAGTACTTCTTGACTCGGGAAGTAAAAGATCTTACATCACAAAGAAGGTGGCAGAATCGCTGGCTTTACAAGGACCCTCTGAAGTCCTTAGTGTGTCTATGTTGGGAGGAGAATCAAGTCAGACAAAGAGAATGAAGAGAGCAAGCTTCTTCGTCACCTCTGTCCAAGGAACTGATTTCAAACCAATAGAGATGGAAGCCCTTACCATAGACAAGATTTGTATGCCGCTCGACCCAGTAGAGCTCAACCTGGAGAAATATCCTCATTTGAGGANAGTTACAGCAGCACAGAGTTAATCTGTTTTAATGGTAATATGGCTTTTTTAAGTATGTCCAGGCAGATTCTTTTAAGGCGAACAGGCTTGGGTGGCACTTCTAATTCCCTTTTTCTGTTCCTACTTTTTCTTCTCCAATGTATGCCTGCTCGCAGGCCAGTGCCTCTCAATACAAATGCAGATTGCATTCTGCTTTCGGGAGTATTAGCCGTCACGATCGACTTTTGAAATTACTTTTCCTGGGAGTGGGGTGGGGGTGGATTAGTGCTACTTCTAAAACATAATCATAACAGTAAAATTGAGCGTCATAAGTGACTGAAATGACTAAAACACAGAAACACAGGCTGTGCCATTAGTTAGCAAAGGCTGGTGATATATGAACAGCGACAGCAAAGCTTATTTTTTTCGCTTGAGATTCGCGTACTCGGCTCATTCCTTTCATGCCTCTAAATAACGCATTCAGTGCCAAGGGCATTACTTATCTCCACTTATTAGTCCGTGTAACTGACGATGTTTGGAGATCTGACACCGGTGTGGTGCTGAAGGGTGTGGTCAATGTCATCATATTATGCTTCATGGTGAAAATGGCAGGGGTCCAGAAATCCAGGTACCTACTACCATCAGCAGATTTGTTGCATCTGAGAATGCAGAAGTTCAACATACACTGTTGCAGACTGCGAAGGCTACGTTGATTGGAGGTGGAGACCACAGAGTGCCTGTTCAAGTACTTCTTGACTTGGGAAGTAAAAGATCTTACATCACAAAGAAGGTGGCAGAATCGCTGGTTTTACAAGGACCCTCTGAAGTCCTTAGTGTGTCTATGTTGGGAGGAGAATCAAGTCAGACAAAGAGAATG